CTTTATAGTGAACCCAGTTATTTCACCATTCGGACAGGCGATCACTACTTTTCGATCATGTGACTCCAGCTCTCTGCATGGTTTCTGCTGCATCTTTATTGTCTCTCACCCCCATGCTTCAGGAGGAGAGCTATTGCAAAGCATTGTGGGATCTATTTGCTCCTCTAGTGACCATGCTTGCACACTGTTTTTCAAGGTGCATTGTGGGGAATTTTGAGTCCAATACATTATCATCCACTAAACATTCGGACACTCATCTAAAATGGCGTTATGACGGATGTTTGGACACAGCCAGGGTTTTAATGAATTCAAGACAGATTTATTGTGGTCTTTTTATAGAAAAATCCTTTAGCGGTTAGCATGACCAACAGTTATAACATCAATCCTTTCTTCAGATTTCCATTGAAATTAACCGCTATAATAACAAGTCGAAGAAACTATGACTAACAACAACAATTAATTGCCCTATGGGTTTAATAAAATGCTTATCAAACCTCCTCCCCACACCCCGCTCTCTCTTGTTGTGTCTGCGCATTCGCAGTAGTTCTAATCCGCACATGATGCACGAATTATTGTAATGGCTGCACGCTCTCACTCGCATTAAAAAAACACCACCTCGCATAGTCTAAAATCTGGATAATTTATCCTGCTCCTGGGCATCCGTGAACAACTATCTATATCAGGGAGACTTGGGATGTCTGAAAATGTATTGAATGGCCCAACCTCCCCCACTTCTTAACATCAGCCAGCTCCTTTGTATCATGTCTTTTGTTACTGGACAGACAGATTAATCCAGGTGTTTCTGACCTAAGTAACTGTGATGACAAAGGCCAGACACACCTGGATTAATCAATCTGTCCATTAATGAAAGACAGGTAACTCTAGAGTTGGGTAAGTTCAGGAAGTAGAGGAATTAGGCATAAGTCCTATTTGAATTCAGACAATTTAATAAAAGTTCTTCCTCCTTTCTAAATCCAGAATGTTAAAAGACATTAGAAGGCTCAAAAGGATAAAACTTTTTTAGAAGATATTTTTTTGCCTTCCTGTTACATGCTGAAACTATCCCTCCCTCTCCTGCATGAACGACAATACATGCATAAATGTATATGCATAAATAATAGTTTCCCTTTGAAAAGCTCCTCTACTCTGTGCTTCCTCTGACTGTTTTAATAAACCTCAATAAGGCTGAATGTTTCCAACACTGTTTCGCCATATGGCACTTCTATATAAAAGAGTTGTTAGCTTGACCTGCTGGGACTAAAGTATAGTGGATTCAATGTTTGAGAACGGCTTTAAGCATTTCACACTCCACCTGTACTTGTAAGCTTATAAGCATTATAGTGCAGTCTGTACAGTATATGCAACACTTTTTAGTTGATTTACAGACACCATGCTAACCTAACTAGCTGTGGGCTTGGCTAAATGTACACTAGCTAACTAAATGGCTTGATTGTTCTCTACCCAGCTCTTGACAAGAAAGTAACTGACTGTATTTCCTCAAATGTCTCACTTCAAAGATTTAACCCTTAATGTTTAACACCGCTTAAAAGTCTGCTGAATGTTTGTTGGTGTGGCTGGACTGAAACGAACATTGGTCAATGAATATATTTTGTTCAGTTATTTCCAAGGCGAACTGCCGTAACCTACTGAACAAGATTTATTTTTGACTGAACTTTCCTGCCTGTTTTGTCCACTTATGTCCGAACCCCTTTTCTACTACTAGTCTGTACTCCTATTATTTAACCCTTCTGTCTTTTCTCAACGTGGTTAACCCTTTCCTCTTCCCACCTCCCGCCTTCTCCTCGCTCCTCTTCTGCCTCCAGGTCGGATGACAGCGACTCCTCGCTCTCCGAGGTGCTCAGGTAGAGGAATCGTGTCTGTTGTTTGCTGTTTTCCCTTGTTTTGCCTGTTTAACTTGTATGGTGTCTTGTCTCCATTCCCGCCTCTCCCTTTAAGTCCTCCATGGTTGAAATCACTGTGAAATGCATGCATTAACCATAGGTAGCTCTTTTCTATCTTTGCCATGCTGTGTTTCTCTGTGGTCCCATGCAGGATCATTAAGAACCAAACTACTTTTTACATTTTTTTTGCCTCGCTGTTGAAAAGCATTTAAAGGTGCCTCTGCAAAACACCTGTATTTTCTGTACCCTGTAGAACTGAATGACAGTATAGGGATTTTTAGCTTATTTTTGATTAAAAGCCTTTCAATTTATGGTAGCAAAGTAATGCTGTGCTGTCAAGCACTAGATAAAAAAAACAGTATTATCAGTGTATTTCTTATTTTTTGGTCTTAGACGGTTAACTTGATCTATGTAAAAACTAAAACAAAACTAAACCCATCTATTCAGTTGTGAGCCAACTATCCAACAGGCTCTTAAATGGTCAATATCTTTAAAAATAATCAATTTACTGTATTTTCTTATAGTTTGAAAATAAAATATGGCAAACCCTCAGACCTTAAAAATGTAAGCTGACTTTAATATGCATTCTCCTTAATGAACAGCAGGGGTCGACATTTAGTTTTTAAAGGAACATGATTTTCTTTTTTCACCTGCCATTTGCCTTTATCAACACAGTTATGATATCTAAAAGATTCATTACATCACCTAGAAGTAGTGCAAGATATAAAGCATGTATTCCCACCATTCCTGCAGGATATCTCATGGTAGATTACCTCCAACAAGTACCTGGTCTGTGAGGCTAGTAAGATGATGGAGTGAGCCAGTGTGACACGTCGGCAGCTAATCCGCTCTGCAGACCTGCACGCTGCTTTCTTCTCACTCATCGGTGTCTTGCATACATTCAAGCAGGGAGCCTGTACTGCTCTCTTCCACATGCTGAAATAAAATCATGTACACGTCCTGCCTTCCTGTGCACCCAGCCAAAGCAACACATTTAGATTATTTCCACACGATTCCAACTGGGAAAATCTCCAGCTGCGAAGTATTTGTATGAACAAGAGCTGAGAAGGAAACAAAATTTTATTTCTGGTGATCACATACAGGGTTTATAACTTTTACTGTTTTGTATAAATATGTGTTAAACACTTTTAAAGTCAGATGTTTATTTAATCGCTCTTGTTACATAAAATAGGAAGTTTTAGTTACTTCGGAACATTTCCTGTTAACTGATCTTATTTTTTTTTTTTATTTTTTTTTTAGATTAAATCACTAGGGACAGAAATATTTACATCCATTCAATCAATACGTTGTAATATAGGCTGCTTTTATTACATTACAAAAGGTCGGAGGGGAGAGCGGGGGATCTTTGACCTTTCCAGCCCAAGACAAACCTAGGTCCTCTCACAGTCCATATTCTCTTAATCCAGAGGGAAAGGTTGCTTTTTTTCCTGTAGTTTGTGTGGATCCAGGCTGTATATTTTGGATCATTTTCCTGCAGAGAGATCCACTGATTGATATTTTCAAGTTACTGGAAAAAAGTACCAGATTTGCATTAATTGTTGTTCTAAGAGCTGAACAATGCCATGCACTATATTGACTTTTAGAGGAGATGCAGTCCTCCCAGTAACAAAGAACTCCACCTAACATAGTAATAATAGGTATAAGGTATATTTTTACATCCTGTTTCACATATTTGGAGAATTGCTGTCTTTATTTTCTGCTGCTTTCTGTTATTGATGTTTTTTAATTCAGTTTATTGCTATAGCGCCAATTCACAACACATGTCATCTCAAGGCACTTTACAGTTCACCGATCATACAGTCAAATTAATTCAAAGTTTTCTATCTAAGGAAAACCAGTTGATTGCATCGACTCATTGACTCAAAGGCAATCCCTCACACTAAGTATGCTTGTAGCAACAGTGGAGAGGAAATACTCCCTTTTAACAGGAAGACACCTTCACCACAACCAGACTCAGTGTGAGCAGCCACCTGCCGAGGCAGACTGGGGTTCAAGGAGACAGAAGCAGAGATACAAAAAGGCCCTTTATATTTATTAGAAAAAGCTATTGACCCAAAAAAGAAGAATACGCTCTAAGGTTAGATTTAAAATGTTTTGCATGCATTTATACTACTCAGTATATAACATTTATTTCAAGGCTTTCATAAGAATTGTCAATAAATGTGGGGAATTAGAAGGTATATGAAGAAACACACTTGCAGTTAGTTTTTATAAAATATTTTTAAAGGGACTGTGTGCAATATAGTTGTCTTATTATGAACAAAAAACAAGTTTTGCTTTAATAAATACATATTCTGTAAAAGTTACTTACCTGGCAGGGGCGATACCTTGGTCATGAAGGAGGTTCACCCAGAGAGAGGCTCGGCCATTGCACTACGGCTATGCTCACCTTTGCAAATTCCCCAAATGTGGGAATCTCGACTGTTAATTTGAGGTAGTGGGGGACTGCGAACGCGCTTTCCCCTGGTTTATGTCCAAAGAAATAAAGCCTCAATTCCTTGATGTTTTCTGCCAAACTGTCAAAGCACTTTAGTATACAGTAGAAAATACAGTGCAGTCCCTATAACAAAATTGGGAACATTTGAATAATGGTAGAAAATACAGTGCAGTCTCTATAACAAAATTGGGAACATTTGAATAATGTTTATGGCTGTTTGTCAAGGTTCTGCCGGGTGATGGGGCTAGTTGGGGGAGTGGCAGGCTAGTGATTAGGGCATTGCGTTTGGAATTCAGAGACCCTTAACCCCACACAGCTCCCCGGGTGCCGCGCAATGGCAGCCCACTGCTCCCCAAGGGGATGGGTTAAATGCAGAGAGTTCATTGCTCTGTACTTCTGGCAGTGTAATGACAATAAAAAGCTGGATACGTTTAATAACATCACTTCAAAAATGAAAGCACTCTCATAGCTTGGAATAGAAATACTTAGAGGACAGTTCACCTAATCAGAGACACCATGTTGCGTCTGCATGTTTGATCAGAGTAGTTGAAAGGGGTCAAACTTGTCAATGTTGTGTTTTACCTGAAATTTGGAAAATTTCTATTTTAAAAACAATCCTGTCTTAAAATCTGTATCTTATGCAGGCCTGTTAGTTATAAGTCAGCTTG